TAGGCACGCCGATGAGACGGTACAGCTTTTTAGTGACGAACGGGATACCCTTTTTTCTTAGCACTTTGACTGGTAAAACCGTGAGTAGGTCTAGTACTCCAGGCTCCATGGCAGCTGCGACCTCCACTCGAGCGATCCCCAATGAAATCAACTTTCGCCGTATAGCCTGCTTCCAGTGGAACAGGCAGCCGACAATGTGTGCACTTTCAAACTGGTCACGAATTCCAAGGTGGAGCGCTTGTTCAAAGTCACACACCACCACGCTCCGTAAGCAAGCCATGTCCGTTTGAATTTTTATCCATTGGAACACATTCCAGTATGTCCAGTGATCCTTGGTATCAACCAAGATATAGAAACACGGTACGTAGAGATCGTGAGCTCGATCGTGAATCATCACAATGATGGTTTAAGTGAATGGCTTTGGAGTCACACTCAAGGTGGCGTCGACGAATAGAGTAATACCAGGATATTTCATCAGTCGAATTAGGTCTGGATGCCCAAACCCAACGATTCGCCTAAACTTTCCCTCCATAGGGTAAGCAAGGTTCATCTGGAGAAATTCTCTCTCGTCATCATCAGATATGCGTCGGACTTGCTCCGTCTCAATCGCTCGAAAGGCATCAGCACCTGTTGCCGCGTCTCGGCATCTCCTGATAACACCAATCGCTTCTTGCTTGGGGAGGAAGCGAAGGCCAGACCGTTCACCGTATTCGCGGATCATCTCATCCTTGACATCACGCCAAACGCGTCCTGGGAGAACTCGCAAGTCACCAAGACTTCGTAGTTCAAGGAGTTGGCGCATCTCTTCTTGCACATCTCGTGCTATCACGTCGTCACCGGTGACGCAGACATGATCTCCCTTGATGTCCACAGTACCGTCATCATGACAAATCAGTCGACCTTTTGCACTTTCTAGTCCGTCTTTTTCGGCACGCGTAGTACTTTGTCGTCTTGTAGAAGTCTTTGTAGTAGTAGTAGTGATCACCGTGCTGCATTGTTGGTTGTTGACTTGGATGTGCCAATCGTGTGATATGCCTGAAATACAATAATGAGTAGACTCTACGCTAACGTGGCGCAGTGTGGATAGACGTAAAGACCAGTATAAGATGGGAGGTAGTTGAGATAAGATATACAGGTAAGCATACCGAAGATCTCCGTTTTGGACACTATTTTGAGAATCTAATGGTGGTCGCTTATTTGGCATACTTGAGGCATTGAGAAAAAGTTAATCACAGCATGCGTTATGTTTTTGGGTACTGATTTGGGTATTCAGGGTCGTGATTTATAAAGGGCATATTAAGATTTACGAAGTGGGAAAATATTCTGAATACAGTTTTATTTTTTGAATAGTCCTCGATTTGCGGTAAATTGTTGTTTTATGCTAATTCCATTGGGCACTTTTGGGCATTTCGGGCACCGTTTTGGGCACACAGAAATTTTTCCCGCGGACTTCTAGACGGTATTGCTACAGCAGCCGGACCTGAAGCTACCCCATTGCATGGATAGGTAAAAAGTGCGAGTGGCGTGGGAATGGCTCCTCCCATGACTCGTCGTCGTATCAAGGGTGGATCTTTTCGATTGGGGTAACTTTAGTTGAGTTTGATCTTGATGTATAAACGTTATAAATATAACAATAGTCATGATCGGTTCAATTTATAAAATCGTTTGTAGCCAAAGCGACATTTGTTACATTGGCTCTATTTTCTATCTACTTAAACATCGTATGAATGGGCACAGGTTGAATTTCAAGCGTTGGGGGAAGGAAAACCAACGAGCGAAATTGCAATCTATCCGTATTTTCAAAAATATGGTC